AATATATACTAAATAGAAAATCAGTGTATACTACGCAGAAAGTCTGTGTTTGCAAATAAAGTACACCATTAGATTGTTAAACTATACAGGCTAATTTTGTTCAATCTACTTCTTCATTAAAGTGTTAATATACATATACAATACAGGTTCTACCATCACAGTGACAATTTTTGGGAAAGATGACTTTAAGAACTCCGTTACTTCTAAAAGAAGCAATGGAAAAAATCGTTCTTTACCAATACTGATGGAGTTTCACAGGTGACTTTTGAGTTCTTCCACTGACAGCGGAATTGCTTCCCAAAGCAGAGTCTTGAGATATTTTAGGCAGCTGATGATAGTCAGTACAGAATCATAGAATAGTGTGTCTTGGAAGTGACCCTTAAAAGCCATCTAGTCCAAGCCCTGCACAAGCAGAGACATCATCAGATGATCAAGTCGGTCAGAGCCTTGGCCAACCTGGCCTTGAATGCTCTGAGCAACCTGCTCTGGTGTTTTACCAGTCTCATCACAGAATATGATTACATTATATTTAGTCTGAATCTACCCTCTTAATTTAAAACAGTACTCCTTGTCCTATCACAACAGGCTAAGAAATTTGTCCTCATCCTTCTTATAAGTCCCTTAGGTACTGACAGGCTGCAATGAGGTCTTCTCCAAGTCCACTCTTCTCCAGGCTGAACAGCCCCAACTATCTCAGCCCTTCCTCAGAGGAGAGGAGTTGTAGTAACTGACACTGGTACTGTAACCACTAAAAGTTACTAGTGAAGTATAGTTTGTTATCTTTAGAGTTTCCACTCATCCTTGAAAATTTTTTTTAAGTATTTACTCACTGAAGCTTAATGTTTTGTAGTAATAGCCTTAAGTGTTTTCAGTTTTGTTGTTCTTTTTTAAATCACTTGTCAAAGGAGGGCTAATCCTGTTTGGACAGAATTTTACAAGACCATCAAAAATAAATTTTGTTTCCATGTTGCTTGAAGTAATAGATCTGACTTGGCAGATAGCTTGAGAAGGTGTTTTGGCACCTTGTAACCTTAAATTAATCAACTGTGTGTACACAAAGATTAGGTTTCTCATTCTCCCATGGAAGCTCCATTCTCAGGCTAGCCAAAGATCTTTCTCCCTGTTCCCATTGAAAAGAAAATGTTTATCACTACAGAGTCACAGGAAACATAAGCAGTGGAGAAATGTCCATGTGACCCTGTTGTGAACTATATCTGGGGTAGGGAGAACTAATGCCTTTACAAAGATCTATAATTCCTCTGGATCATTGAGGGTACCATGTCTGATTCTACACAGACCATATTTCTGTTACTCACATTTCAGCTCTGCTTCTGTTATAAACACCCCTTAAGGCTCTGCTGCCCAGCCAGCTACTCCTTAACTTCCTTATCACAGTCTTACCAGATTTCTTCCCCACCCCAAACAGCATTTCCACAGCGCTTTACTTTTCCAGCTACGGTTTTCAGAAGTGCGGCTCTCAGTTAAACTTTTGCATAATATTAAAGCCCTTTGCAAATATGTAGTATGAAATTAGTTCAAATCCAGCTGGGGAGGAAACAGGAGACACTGGTTTAGCAAAGTATTATTCCAGACAAGCAAAAGACACCGAATAAAGATTTTAAAAAATAACAACCAGAAATTTTTCCATAAACTGAAAGAAAATAAATACAAGGATGGGAAATTTTGTACACACGACAACTTGGGGCTTGATTACAGGCAAATCTTGGACCTTGATAACAACCTTCCAATCCCAAGCATTTGATTTCTTTCTACTACTGTAACAGTCCATGAGATGACTTGCAAAAGCAACTTTCCACACATCTATTACTCAAAAGTGAACACTTTTAATAGCAAACAGACAATATTAGAGATTATTAACATTTCTTGCCAACACAAACTCCTCAGAAACTGAGAAATCCTGAAGGACAAGCCTACCTAACTAGGAGGGAGTATCAGGAAATCTAAACTCATCACTTATTTTAAGTACTTATCCCACCAACATTCCTGTAAAATACTCCAAAGTACATGATTCCAACACAATCTGCCACCCAGAACATACCAGTAATGAGAAAAAAAATAGATTAAAGACTACCGTTAATTGAGGGTTTAAACTGGTCATCCTACTTCCTGTGATCTGTATCAAAAGCCTTCCTAAAAACCCAGGAGTTAAATTCAAACAGATATTATGTCAGATTTGCTATGTTAGAATATTTATGTTTTAAGCAGTATTAATATCTAAGTAACTACAGGCAATTAATCTGATCTTTGCAGCTTCCACAAAAGATTAATGACTTGGATTCAGTTAACACACACAAGCTTAAAACTTCCATTACTTCTCAGCATAAACTTGAGAAGGACATGCAGCCTCTTGGTCTTGTCATAGCACTGATATCAGCCCCAAGAGGACAGGATTTCCTCAGAGGAAGGCACTGCTGGACAGCACTGGCCTAAGACAGACTGCTCTATTGTCCAGCAACAAAGAGCTTTGATGCTCCCCATGTGAAAAAAAGTCAGGCAGGTCTCTGCTCCTGAGAGGTAGGGTTAAGATGGAGAGGGATGCTGAGCTGATGTATCCTGCTCTAAATGATTCCTGGTTGCAGTCCAGGCCTGTTCTCCAAGGCTGGGTTCAGTGGGGATGCTCTAGGTCTCAGCCATGGCTCCCTTGTGGGTTTTGCACCCACACATCCCTTGACTGTCCATGAACTGATGAACTCTGCAGTTGCATTCATCAAGTACCCTGCCATAGTTAATAGCAAGCAAGCTTCTTTGAGAATGATTGGAAAGAAGAGTTGGCAGAGACTTGTCACATGGGCTATTTTCCAAATTGCCCAAAAAGGGGGGAAGCGGAAGAAAGCTCCCTGTATTTTCTTCTAATTCCCTATATGGAAAGGTATCTTTCTTGTATCATCTTGACACGTTCATTTGAAGAGTTCATACTCAATTGTCATGTCAGCAACAATTCTGAGCGGAAACTCTGATTAGCTAAAATGGAAACAAAGATCTGGTTGTGGAAATATTTCTTTTTTCATATAGAGTAGGAGACACTTTCACTCCACCTTCAACAAAGTACACCAACAGGTGGATTAATACAGTGCTTTTGAGAGGCCTGCCACTCTCAAAAGCACTGTACCAATCCACCTGTTCCCACAGAACAACCTCAGAACATCTGCATCTCTGTAGTACTGAAGTAACGAGTTGGACACACTCAGCCAAGTCTCCCACAGTGAACAAGTTTCCTCTCCATCAACACTGCAAGCTACTGCTCTGCAGATCAAAACAGCCAGCTTCCCCAAGTAAGACAGCTCCTTCCTGGAAATGGAAGACAGCTGCCTTATCACAGGAAAGGGAAGATAGAAGGTCACTAAGTGGCAAAGTTCTCATCTTGAAAGCTCTGCCCCTTGATTGACATGGAACAACCAAGGTCATAGAACTTCTCATCACATGCCTGCATAATTACTAAATCACTCTTAATTATATCAGAGAGCCAAGACCTCACTGGAAAGGCAAAGCAAACAAAGAAACCAATGAAGCCTCCTCTGTTGTTGGAGAAAATTGGTAATTAAAAGTCATGAGTGCACCAAAGAGTGAGGGAACAGCAGCACAGTCACTGCTCAGCACTCAGAAGTGACTTGCATACAAAGCAGCAAGCTTATCGCCCTAGGGAAATTACACAGGGTACTGTGTTAGACAGCAGTGGGGAGAGAAAAACAGGGAAAAATGGAGACAGAGAAAGAGCAACTCCTGTACTATCAAGAGCTTCATTTACCCCACAGAGAGGGACAGCATTGCCAACCAGGCCCAAGTCTGAGAAGTGCTTTCCACATGTTTATAGCAGCTCTAGAAAGCCTTCTCCCAGCCTTAGATCATTAAGTGTTCCCCTACTTTGAAGAGCACAAATGAAGTAGACCTTGTGCTCAACCTAATCCAGCCCACACACAGCCCTTGCCCAAACAAACACTATTCCAGTGGAAAACCTTTTTACCCTCAATAACCTGAGCTCAGCCTTAGAGACTGCTCTTTCTTCAGAGGCTACCCTTCAAAATGTCATTATCAGAAACCACAGAACTTCAATCTACCCTTAAAAAAACCTTTCAAAACTCATAAAAAGACAGAATATTATGACCCTGCTCACACCAAAAGAAATTAACCTAGATAGTCATAGGACCTGCTGAAATCAAAACATGTGCTTTTACTGATTAGACTATGAGAAGATAAATGCTGATCTGTTTCCTTCCCAACAATATTCCACACCATCTCAGAGCACTGAGATGTCAAAGATGGCACTGGACAGAAAAAGACACCATGTTATCTACCATCATTTGCAAGCAAACACAAGAATCTCTCTGATCTGCTATACTGACAGTCTTAAAGATCTAATCCTAAATATGATCATATGTAAGAGGTGCCAAATCTGGACCAAATCCTTGAAGAGATGAACTTCAATGGATTATGATACTGTGGCAAGAAACCCAGTCTTACTCTGGGCACTCAGCCCTTCCAACACACAAAAAGGGAAGGGTGAAACACCAGAAGCCTAAAGAGAACCGTTTGTACATTGCAGAGATCAGAACAAAGAGACATTTTCTACTTCACTGCTTCAAGTACAATGACTCAAAAAGACAGATCTTCAAGATACTATAAATTACAATGCCTCCCTTTCAAAACATGAACAAGAAGGAATAAAGGATAAGTGCAGCAGAAGCAGTAATACAATTTGTGGAATAAAAAATTAATATTTTTTTATTCCTTGATAAAAATCAATAAAAATTAATAACCAACAATCTCTGACTAACTGCAGCCATTTCATTATGTTTAACTTTGACAGACTCAAATCTAATAAACTCATATTGAAGTGCATCTGGTCCTTTTTCATCTCTTTTCTGAACTTCCATTGCTTACCAGTGCAATGCCCTTTCCCCTTCACTGCTGCAACCCAAGTACAGCACTCTGTTTTGTAATGCTGCATGCTAAGCACCCAACCCTCCAGGAGAGCACTTTACCTGTTGAAGATATCACCTGACACCTTTTGCAGATAGTGAAGTGCATCTGCCACCTGCTGCACAGCCTCCTCCCTGCGTAGGTCTGGCTGGATCAGGGGCACTGAGTATGTCTGCCCTTCCAAAAAGCGCTTCTGGGCTTCTGTGGCCATTGTATCTAAGGGAAAAAGGGAAAGAACAAATAGGTCATTACACATTAAACACACTGCCACTTTATCATAGCAGTTATTCAGGGACTTCTACTTTCTGCTCCACTAATTATTTTAGGAAAGCATTTGCAACAGAATTGGTAAGCTGAGGAGAAAGGCACAAGTAGTCAGACTGACATATTGGATTTTTAATACATTCAAGGCAGCTACAGTGAGGTGAGACTCTCTTGCTTATATGAATGTTCTTGGAAACCACAATTTTATTTTAGCATGCTACTTAACAAATCTCTGCTCAGTATTGTGCTGAAAACAAAGACCAGAGTTAGAAGCAAAGTTGGTTCAGAGTGGCAATAAGACTCATCACAAATCACCCTGTCCCCTCCTCCCTTTCCTCATATTCCACGTGGCTATATTTCAGGTCATCCAACCCTATTAGCAAAAGGCAATATTTCATCTTACACTTCTGCTCCAAGAAATGCACTATTAGGCCTTCCAAGAACAGAAGCCATGAAATTACAAGGCATGCATGGGCACACACCCCTTGCTCCAAGTAGGTTAATTAGAGTTCTTCCATTCTGAGACACCCAGGAGCTCTTTGTTACTTCTGGACTGGATTTTTCCTTAGTAACTATCTTGAAAGAAGCCTCCATATTTTAAAATCCTTTCATATCTCAAGCCTAACCAGTCACCAAAATGTTTCAGTTGTGTGCCACACACCACAGCTGTATGCACACTTTTGGAAGCAGTGGGCCAATACCACTGCTCTATAGCTCAGCCAGGAGAATCTCACCCACCACCCATGTTTGAAAGAACATAAAGAGGGAAAAAAAATCCATTTCTCTGAGTACATTAGAAATTGCAAACTCTCAAACACATAACTATTAGGATATTCTAAATATGAACAGTGTAGAGGATCCATACAGTTTTCTAACCCAAACTCTACTGTTAGGTCTACACAACTCTTTCCAAATTTGTTTTGTCAGTGTCTCTACTCATTCAGGCTGTAAAAAATCAGGTGCTCATTACAGGGTTTCATCACACAGAGCTCCGTACATCTGCGTAAGAAATTAAGCTGAGGAGAAGCAAAACAAAGCAGGATGAAAAACCAAGGTATGAGAAGTAGACAGGGATATCTCAGGATGCACTGCATTCCCTGTGTGGTACTTGGAAGTCTGCAGGAGCTAGTTCAAGAGAGCAGTGCTGGGTGCAACATGCTTCCTGGCTCTATAGCAGTGCAGGCTGAGAATGACACAGAAAGACAGCCCATACTGGAGAAATTCGCAAATCAGGAGCCTGAAGAGAGACAGTCACAACACAAAAAACCAGTTTAATACGTGAAAATTAGAGCAGTCTTCACACAGTCCTTCAATTCTCTATCTTGCCTCACAAAACAGAGATAACAGATTTGACTTGTCTGCAGTAATTTCTGTATATTTAAGAAACACCACCCTCTCCAAATTTTTCCTTTAAGATGATACCATGGGTAGGAAAAGCTTTCTGTAAATTTGATGTGGCTGTTATTTAAGGGTACTCTTCTGAGATGTGGGGTTTGCCGAGTTGTTTTGGGGTTCTTTTGTGGGGGTGTTTAGTAATGAATCATGAGATGTGAGGGTACGTAGAAGCCTTTCCACAGTTAACAAATTTGCAAGATCAAGCCCAGCCATTAGAAAGTTGGCTCTACTGCCAGTCTAGGAAGCCTAGACCTACTCTGTTTCATTTCATGCATCACTGGCAGCAAGACTCTATATCTGCAGTCTTTAGCAGCAATGTTTGCACACTGATTAGTCTTCTTGACTGGGCCTACTCTGCAGACAGGAAATTATTATTTAGAGCTGTAAAGCATACAAGCTAATCTGAGATGAGTACAGCTAATTTTGAGACAGCAGTTTCTGATCTGCTGACCACAATCAAGCTTCAATACTTTTCCTTTCAAATCTACCATTTGACTGTCACCACGGAATAAAGTGACAAGATAACATAGCCAGGATGTGGTTATGAGTTACTCTGGCCCTAGCATTAAAAGGGGTTTATAATCCTCCCTGTAACTGGTCAAAACTCTACTGTTGCATCAGTGCTCCTGATGTTTGGGATGCCTATTTTTAACTCGCATCAGTTCAATGACCCAATTTACTGCAGCCAGATAAACAGCTGTAATTGTCCAGTCATTAAACACAGTGGGAAGCAGGGGCAAGAAGGAAATTTCTGAAACTTGTTTCATTATCAAAACCATTCCTGTGTAAAGGTAATCCTAAGAAAGTCAAGATTTTCACCTCTTGAGGCCAGATAAGATTATGCAGCCCCAATATGATCTCTCAGACTCTCACTAATCCTAATTCTCCTGGTGTCCTTCCTAAAACCAAGCTCAGTTCAGCTGCTGACTGCCAGATGCTCCCACCTGGGAGCAGCGATCCTCTAGCTACTCCCAAACATTCATTTCCCCACAGTCAGAAACTACAGACTCTCCTTCAGGTCCCACTGCTCCCTAGCAAAGAGAGGGGCACCCAGTACTGGGCAAAGCAGGAAAATCCCTGGGTTTTTCTGAGAAAGCTCCTGCTCACACTGTCACAGTTTGTCTGTCGGTCAACATCAGCTTCACAGGCTCTCCATGAAGGCTCTCAAAGGAGCTTCAGATTCTCACCTTTCCTGAAACAAATAGTGGAAAAATATGGCAAATTCTGGAAATTACTGCCAGAGACAGATACAAGACAATTCCTTCTGTGCAAGAGAACAGGTTTTATAGCAAGGAGGAGGGAAAACAGCAACAATTTAATGACTAGACTTGGGCAAAATCCCATGCTGCAGCTGCTACTTGTTACCTCCTAGGACCAAACTAACTGGAGAAATAAGCCAGTTTTACAAACAATTTGAGTAAGGGCCACCACTCGGTTAGAATAAAAGGAGAATTGCTTCACTTAACAGAGAGAGACTGCAAGAATAAGGAATATTTTAAAAGGGAAATTTCAAAATATTCCCAGCAGAAGTCAGGAAGGAAAGTAAAGACTGAACATCACTCAGTAAGACTGACTCATCCTTTATCTCAAAGCCCAGTGCATTAAGAAGGAAGCAGCACATTTTCTTGCCATGTTCCACTATCAGAATTAGTACATAAAAAATAAAGGAGTGCTGGGTGTTAAAATATGTCAACTCTTCTAACCTATCCAATGGGTGCCAAGCCTTCGTGTAACATGAACACAAAGGTGCAAATAAACTGCTTCTATCTTACATATAGAAGGGACTTCCAGCAAAACAATAAACTGGTTCCAGTATCACTCCAGAATCTTACAGAGGGTGTGTTTCTCTAGGAAGTACAGCAATGCTGGAATTATGACAGCTGACATGAAATACTTTGATGCTACAGTGACAAACTGACACGTGCCCGAAGAAAATATGAGTCACAAAAACAGATGTCAGATCAACCAAGAGATTTATTTAATCATTAGTGGTGTGACCACCAATAGGTCACACAAAGTAGAAGAAACAGCAACACAGTTTTTTTTTTGTTTTGTTTTGGTGGGGTATTTTTGTCATCAAAGAGGCTCTGGAAAAGAACAAAAGAGCTGCAGCATCTGGGGGCTCCAGCCATTTTTTATTCAATTGTTTTTTTCTATGTCAACTTTCATGATCAAGACAAATATGTTCTGGTGTTATATAATAACCTCATTTACCTTATTAAAGTGAAAACAAAGAGAAAAAGGTTGTTTTCTCACTGCACCACCTGCTTCCAAGTGCAATGTTCTGTTTTGGAAGTTCTGACTAAAGCTACTGACTGCTTAGATTTGCACTTCTGCCTTAAGCTGTCTGTGCCTTTCACCTCAGGCAAGGTGGTCCAAAGCTCCTCAGGGCTAGTGGCTATTCCTCCACAGTCAAAGCTGTTCTCTCCCTTTCAGTTCCAACACTCACACTTGCAAAAGCTGAGAGAAACAGCAGGAGTGGGAAACACAATCAGTCTCTGCCAGACTGTCTCGCCTCTCTGGAAGACACAAACCTGGATGGATACAGGCTGAGCACTCCAGGGTCTCCAGGCATTTGGAACCAACAACTGGGCTTACTCTTCACTCACCACAGCAAAGTCTAATACTTGGAGGGACATGTGGAGCCCCGCCCCTGGAAAAGAAAGTATATAATTCACTGCTCTGGATAGGTAGAGAAACACTCCACCTGCTTTCCTCACCTCTCTCCATAAGAATAAAACTTCTTATGTTAAGGCAAGCCCAAAAGAATTTGCTACAGAGCAAACAGAGTTTGTAAAAGAAGCAGCACTTCCCTAAGTTCTTTAGAAAATACCGCTCTATGGAGGATTGACCACTGGGATGATAATCTAAAAACTAAACAACCCCACAACCTTAAAATATTTTCGTTTTTCAAAGGAACATAAACAAAGGCAGTATTAAAAATATAGTTTGGCTTCCCTTAATACAGGGAGAATGTAAAGCTGTACACAAGCACTTACCAGATGTGTACTTTGCTATGAAAATAAAGAGAGAATAAGGTAAGCAATCAACAACACCTGCTTCCTTAACATGTTTCAAGAAGCTAAAAAGAGCGGGCTCAGGGGAGAAGATGGACTAAATACTTTGAAAAAAATCAGCACATATACTTCAAAGCTACAATGGCTGCTTTAGCAATTACTGTGCTGCTGCTGCTTTTGCTTCCAGTGCACTAGAAAGGCAGCAAAAACTAGGGCCTTTAATTCCCACAGGCAGTAACATCTCCAGAAAGAAGTGGCAGGCTATCTCTAACCCTATGTCTGTCTTTTGTAGGATCCTAATAAAAGATCAATGCCTTGTAGCCACCTGTGAGGACATAGGGAACAGCAATATGTAATAAAACACGTCTGAGTATCCCTCACCACACACCACTATCACCAGTATGATTCCAAAGTGGGAACAGACCAAACCACAAATGAGCTGCAGTTTAAGATGAAACATATTCAGAAGATGGAGCAGACAGGCTCCGGGCATAGCTTATCAAAAAGTGACAGAGGAAAGTTACATCCATAACTTGGTTAACCATGAGAAATCATCCCAAATTCCTCCCTGAGAGTAATTTCTTACATGTAATACTTTCTACCATGTTTACCTGGACAAACATTTTCCCATGGTCAAATCTACTAGCATATTCAAGTCATACCTTGATTGTTCTGGAAGCTTGCCTAGAGGCTATCCAAACAAAATATCAGACTTAAATCCTCTAAGGGAAAAATAAGAGCAATATAAAAAGTTAATTATACCACCTTGCCCTCCACAGATAAAGCACACTCCTGTGAGGTTACCAGCTGCAAAACCAGAGAACAGTATTTTAAAAAGAGACTTGAAAAAGCAATATATGCCATTGCATATGAAATGGCAGGATATGGCAGTGTGTGCACACACACAGATGTAGACACTGAAACAAAAGCTAAATCACTCAAATGCAGCACAGGAGCCTACATACAAGTCCTATTATTATGCAGCATACAATCATTTTGCCCTGTGCTGACATTCATGGGAGGGGATGAAATTTCGTCCTCCACAGAGCACACAGGAGGTAACTATCCTGGGTAGGACAGCAGGATGCATTTCCAGCAGTGAGATGAGAGGTTCACCACAGTCCCTGCGCTAATCCAACTTTACTCTTTTTTTCAGGAAGCAAGGTGGGGACAGGAGAGAAGCACGTTGGTAAGTTAAGAGGATGAAAGGTCTATTTATATTTTTAATTAACCATCTTCTACAATGTTATTAAGCAGCAATCAGAGATGCAGATGCTACTGATTTGATTGGCAAGAAGTACACTGTGCTGTATATTAAGGAACTCTGCCCCTATAAATAGGTCTAATCAGCATCTGAAGGCTGGAAGGCAGCGATGAAAGAAAGCATTAATAAGACCCTAATTAGGCCCTGTAGCAGGCTGTACCCCACCAGGGTGCTCATGTTACTAGATGTCTCTTATAGTAGCACGCTCAAACTCCTTTGTGGATGTTACTGCTTTGGTCTTAAGACCTCTAGTAGCTGTTTTAGACAAGAGTGGAGTTTCTCCATCTTTGGAGTGCTTGGCATTGGCTGTGATTTTGCCTCCCAGGGCTGTTTCTGGAACTAAATGACTCTGTCCATTCCAGCTGTCCCACCCTGCCCATTATCAAGGAGTGAATTAAACAGAGGAGCTGGAGTTCCCCAGGCACAGAAACTGGCAACAGGTACAGGAAAGTGAAAACTTGAGAAGCCATCATTCTCCCTCCCTCTCAGCAGCAGGAGCATACCATGGCCCAATCTACAGCACAAGGTTACTTTAGCCACACCTGTAAAAACCATTTCTGCTCCTCTCCTCCAGCTTTAGAGGATACTTACTCAACTTCAACCTTTCAGCCTATCCTTACAGTATAGCATTACCTCAGAAGAACACCAGCAACAAAAACTCTGTGCAGAAAATGAATCCTACAGGGCATCTCCTGCTCCCACAACTGCTCATTGATATGGGATGACCTGACCAGCCAAACCCTTTTCAAAAGGAGTCAGCCTCACATCCCACCATGGCCCTGCAGAAGCAGTAGAGCACTGAAGCACCTGACAATCGCAGGACTACCTGAAGAAAAGCATCTATCAAAAATCTGCTTCTGAAAGCATGAGACCAGCATTTAAGGCACCTCCTTCTCAAGAAGCCAGAGCCTGTTAAAAACACCTTTGGCTCAGACACTTTGCTTTGAAAGAAATAGCTGCAGCAGCTACTGTAGGTGAAATCTGGAGACTTCTGCTCACCCAAAAAGCTACTCAGAGCCACTTAGATTTGTTGGTTTGTCACTACTGGCCTATTCCACTCAGACTTAAGAGAAAGAACCAAAATTTGAGATCTCGGAGCCCAACTTTACAATAGCATGTGGCAACTCCTTAGTAAAATAATTGACATTTAAAGATGGATTAGATACAACAATTTACATTGACTCTCCAGAGAGAGAATGCTGTAACTTTTTTTTTAAGAGACTCTGAAAAGTAGAGACTTAAAAGAATTTATAGGTGCACTTCAATCCTGCCAGCTCCATAAGCTAAGACCCCCTCTAAGCCACTACTGTCTTCAGGACAATCTTTCCCCTCAACACAGAGCTCTGTTTTGCAAAGCACAGGCAGCCTCCCTCCCTGCATCACCTGACTGATAAAGCCCTGTCCTCTAAGCACAGGCTGAAATTTACTTCCTCCAGCCAGATATATAACACTCATTTTGACAGACAGATTTTGATATCTAAAGTTAATCAGATAACCCCCTCTTTGACTGCCACCTTTGGCTCTCATCACTAATGGAGACAAACTAATGCTGTAATGAACAGTTGATCTGATTCCAGGGCAGAACAACAAACACTCTAATAATTGCCTGCCTTACCTTCCTATCACTATTTATTATAAAGGAAGACTATACAAATAGCTTAGCTATACCTGCTATACAAACATCATAACTAAAGTTGAAAATCTCATCCCAAACATCCAGACAGAGCTCCTTCTCTGATTTCCTAAATGGGGCACTTTGGTTTTGTATGCCTGAAGTACACAGAAGGCCCTGGCTCTGCATAGTCCTCCAGAGAGCCATTTTTCTGCAATAAGTTCTCTTAAACAATGGAACTCCAATGCCAGGTCAACCAGAATGCTGCTGTAGAGCTTCCTGCAGAATGTCTGGAGCTTCTCATTCTAACAGACCACAGCAATACTTACTTCCAGAAACACACCATGTCCAAAAAAATAAAAAAGAAGAAGAAAAAAAAATCCAGCCCTCTAATTTTCTGATGCAAAATCAGCTCCACCCTTCTGCAGAGGGACCTCAGCTGCAGATCTAACCACTGCCACAAACCATAGCTTGCAGTGTCCTGGTTTTCACCTCCACATTCAGTACTCTCTGCTCCAAAGTTCTGGAGTTTTACAGCCCCCATGTGCAGTATTACAAAGCCTTAGACATTCAGTTAAGGAAACAACTAAACCAAAACAGCGACCAGATCAGTTCCTGCCTGTTTTATACATTCAAAAGCAAAGGCAATGCTTGCATTTCTAGAAGATGACAGGAGAACTCACTAAATAAGTAATGTCTTCAAGTCTATTCACATTTGCTAGAAGGAATACCCATACAGAGTTGCCTGATTGACAGGAGCAGATGAAAAGCTGGGTCAAAAAAATGACACCTGGATGAACTATTTTCTGGGAAAGGTTATCTCGTGAGGGAGTGATTAGCTGCAGAAATTGCTTTTCTCAGTGATAAAAATTATTCCCTTCAATCTCTTACACCACAGCCATGGGAAACATAACAATTTCAGACACAGTCCTCTTCTTCCTCTGCACATTATTTTAATCTAAAAAAATGTTATAAAAAAAAAATCTGCCTTGCTTTCAGGAATACCTCAACACTATTTTTCCCCAGCCCTCAATTTCTACCCTTCCCTTTCACTCCCCAAGATGAGCTTGATGTAATCACAGTCACCTGGTATTCCCAGAAACCAGATTGCAGAGCGGTCCCCAGGAATTACCGGCTTTCAGTTTTCTGGCCCAAGAACTCCAGACCTGAGAGAACAGCACTCTGTATCTGAAGGAATGAAGATTTGAAACTCAGTTTAAATATCTGGAGTGATAGAAGAAGGACAGATGCTTAGAATAGCAGCCTGTGCTGCTCTAGGAGTACCTCAGGCACTCTTCTGCCTCAGGGCTCTGGAGGTGTGGCTGTTTCCCTGCCATTCAAAGCATCCCAGTAATACAGAGATATATCAGGCACCTACTACATCCTAGCTTTACTACTTAGACAAGACAAACATAATGAAATATCAGGAGAACCTATTAGCCAGCCTTCCTAAAATGAAGTCTAAGCAAGGGCAAGTTGGCTGGAGCACCTCTGATTCCCAGAAAACTGTCATGCAGAAAAGTTTCTACAAGGACATGCCAAAGCCACTTTGCTTCCAGGCCTTGCCTCTGGCAAGAGCAGCACTCTTTGCTCCAGGAAGGCTCTGTATTTCAGGGAACTGACAAGGAATGGGGGCAGTTCTAACTTCTACCTCCAGGACAGGTGAGCCCAGTCCGCACATCATGGCCAGCAACACCCACCATGCAACCTCCATGAAATAAAGAGCTCATTCCAAGCAAACTCCCAGCTGACATTTGCCTCAATCACATGAAATGCCACAACCACATTCAGCACTATCCCACTTCCTCGTTGGAAGCTGCACTGTGACTTGTACAGAGTCAACAATTAGCATCTCTGCACAGGGATAAAGAGCCTCCTCTTTGGAAAGAGATCTTTGGGAAAATCCAGGTGCCATTCAACCATTCAATATCGGAACCACATTTAACAACCAAAAAAGAAAAGAAAAAACCCAAACAAAACACAAAACCCCCAAACAAACAAACAAACAAAAAGAAGGAGGGAAACCTTATCACATGATTTCCTGTTGATTACTAAAATAAATACTGTCAATGACCATCACTGCTGGATGTGAATTCACAATGTTCCCTACATCCATCAGCATCCTTTGTACACAGCTAGGTCTAGTAGTCCTATGGTCTTCTTATTGCTGGCCAACACATTCTTTACTTTGAACACAGAAAAATATTATTCCAATAATTGCATCAGCAAATTGGGTTCACTTGCAAACACTGACAATATGGTTTTATTTGACAAATCATTTCAATCAACACAACTGCTGGCCTGAGAACAGTACAAAGTACTATTTGTACTACAAATAATACAACTACTTGGAATAGTACAAAACACCCCGACTATTTGCTTGCAATAGTTGACTTTCTGAGGAAAAATCACCTAACACACAATCCCATGTCTTTCTCAGACACCTCCTCCTCTTTTTTTGCTCCTCCCTTCTGGCTGCAACATATCCCGTCTGTCCCTACAGATTACCTGATCTACACTGAAAAGAGGCATTGCCCTTGCCATTCCCTGAAACAGTGTGTGGAACTCAGGAGTCCTGTATGTCACTGCCAACTTGACAATTCCATGCTCCAAGTCTGCCAGGCAGATCTCCCAATCCATGGCATGGCTCAGCACGGAAGCACCACGTAACAATCACAGAATGGCTCAGGCTGGAAGGGACTCAGTGGGTCATCCGGTCCAACCCCTGCTCAAGCAGCCATCCTAGAGCACCTGGCACAGGACTGCACCCAAATGGTTCTTGAATATCCAGTGAGGGAGACTCTACAACCTGTTTGGAAAATCCTTTTTCTGGGCTGAGCAGCCCAGCCTGCGCTCACAAGAGAGACGCTTCATTCCCTTCACCAACTCCGCCGCCCCCTGCTGGAGCTCCATGTGTCACACGCCCTGAGGAGCCCAACCTGGACACAGGGGCAGGATCACCTCCCTCGACCTGCAGGCAACGCTCTTCCTAACGCCCGCAGGACGAGAAGTGCAACGCACCATTGTCCGGCCCCGCTGTCCCTCCCTCACAAGCGCTGCCAAGCTCTTCTGCCCAACAGACGTGACAGGCCGCAGCTTCTGCACAGCCCTCCGCGGAGCCCGGCGGAGCCGCGGCTGCTGTCCGGGGCCGCTCCCGGGGCCGCTCCCGGGCCGTCCCCCCGCCCCGCCGGCTGCCGGGGCTCTGCGGGACCGGGCTCGGCCCCGCTCCCGGTGCCGCTCCCGGGCCGTCCCCCGGCCCCGCCGGCCGCCGGGGCTCTGCGGGACCGGCCCCGGCCCCGCGGGCTCCTCACCTGCCTCCCGCGCCCCGCGCCGCTCCCGCCCCCGCGGCGCGTCACGTCCGCCCGGGCAGGGCGGCCCCGCCGAGCCCGGCCCGGGAGGAAGTGAGGCAATGGTGGGATGGGCTCGGCTGCCCCGGCATCACCGGGTTCCGCTCCTGACCTCGCGCAGGGCATTGCCACCATCACCGTCTAAACGCTCCTCGGGCTCTGGCAGGCTGGTGCTGTGCCCCCTGCCCTGGGGAGCTGTTCCAGTGCCCAGCCACCCTCTGGAGGAAAGACCTTTTTGTAATACCCAACCTAAACCTGCCCTGGCACAGCTCCAGGCCATTCCTTTGGCTCCTGTCGCTGTCACCACGGAGAAAAGACCAGTGCGTGACCCCCTCTTCCCCTCTCAGCAAAGTTGGACATCACCATGAGGTCTCCCCTCAGTCTCCTCCGGGCTGAACACACCAAGTGCCCTCAGCTGCTCCTCACAGGCTTCCACTCCAGACCCTTCACCATCCTCTTGGCCCTCCTTTGGACACTCTCAAATAATTCCAGCCCGACTTCACCTGGCTGCTTTTCTTCCATGTTATCTGGTAGAGAGCATGGCAAGCAAAAAGGGGAATCTCTGACTCACGCTCTTCTCCACTGCTCATGTTTAGAGTTGGGCAATTTAAAAGCTGATTTAACAAATACAGAATTTTGTTGTACTAGTTTGTTACTGTGTTGCTTTCACGCTTCCCTTTGTGCACACATTCTAGCAACCAAGGTCTCCCAGCACAGACGTTCATGAACAATGAATTGCAAGACCTCATCTGTAAACATTAAACCCACACTTTAAAGGACTAGGTGCTGCACATGACAGAGGTATTTGAATGTTTTTCCACTTCAGGATTAGAAACCATTTCTCAAAACTTAGGTAAACAGTTGCAACTTCACACCATTTGAATAGCAAATACCAGCTTTTGGAGGCACCAGGGAACACTTGTGATTGATATGAAGCATTAAAAGCAGTGCACAGGGGAAAAAATAAGGCAAACCTCTTCAAACAGGGAATGCACTTGAAGACATTGGCACGCACTCATGCATATTAGCTCAGGGGGAAGGGGTAAATTCATTACATAAATTACCTGTTGCAGATTGTTTGCTCAGTTCCACTTCCTTTGCAGTGGGAAGCACAGACTGAAGTGGGGCAGTGATTTTGGACCCAGTGAAGTTGCAAAGGAGATCAGCAGTGTGAAAAACGCCAATCACTTGGTTTTTAAAATTTTAATAATAATAAAACTATTATAAAAATAGTAATACAATTAGAGTAATAAAATTTAGAGTTAGGACAATTACAAGACAATAAAAAGCAAAGAATTACGGACGTCCAGATGCTCTTGGACACTAAGTCACGAGAAGCATCCCTTGTGAACAAAGGAATAACCTTAAAAGCAATAGCCTGTTGCATATTCATATATCTCATACATGATGCATAAATTCCTTGCAAATTAAGAACTTTTCTGTTTTTTGTCAACTTCTTTCCCTTAATCCTCGTGGTTCCATAAAGACAGAGAGAAGGTGGAAGAATGTTTGTCTTTTCCGATAAGAAGGCAGTAACTCTTTATGGGCCCCAAGTCACTGCCATCTCTGTGTGAAGAGTTTCTTGATTATCTCACCTCTTGCTTGTGCTAGTAAAAAATCCTGCATCACAGAGTTTCTATTTTAACGGTCTGTTGTAACCTAAAACTATATTTAACACACTACTTAAGATATTTAATACAGCATAACTTTCTAACATTACATATATAATATTCATTGTAACATTTGCAAAAAGCCAATCATAAAATATGCATTTTTCACAGTAGCCAGCAGCAGCTTCTGTGTTTCAGAGTCTGCAGGAGGTACAGTTTTTGCCTTTGTGATGTTTTAATGATGGGCCTGGTAAGACCCATAAGTATGGAAGTCATAAGGGCAAAAGGCCTGAGAACTAAGGACCAGGATAGGAGCTATTGAAACTCTCTATGAGGAATGGAAAATCCTGCCAAAAATTCAAAGCAGATAAAAAATCAGATCTATCTGAGTCTGAGTAAGGATCATGTGTGTGGGTGTCAGGACTTGTCAAAAATAAAATGGGGAAGCGGATGTAAGAAGCAACAATCCAATCTATTCTAATCCATTTTTATTTATATACTGCTGATGGAAAACCCGCCAAATGCTTTTTGCTACTTGGTGAGATCCAGTTCAAACCATTTACAAAGTTCAAGAGAAAGCAAGAGGTGATGGCAGGCTGACACAGTCCCTTCCCATGTCCCCCTCCCAGCCTGAGGGAGCCAGCAGGTTTGCAAAATCCATCATTAAAGGACCAAAGAGAGCTAACAGAGAGAGAGAAAATGAAGACTGAATCTTAGGCTGGGTGGGCAGCGCATCAGGGACACAGCGAGTCCTAGGTGAGAAGCAATAGCAGGGTAGCACTGGACTGGATAAAGCACTAGGAAGACCCTTGTAGTGGGTGAGAACCTGTAAATGGTTGTGAACTCCTGGGTAATGCTGTCATATAGCAAACTTCTTTCCTGTGCAGACAAGATCTGCCTAACCAGGCACAAGCAAGTGTGGACAACCGCACAGAAAGAGTCTGGAGGCAAATCAGGAGAGCAGCTGCTTGATTCAAGTGCAAAGGCATCAGTCTCCATCCAGATGCATGGCTTGACTCATTCCCAGCCAGTGGAATACTGGACACAGTTTCTTCTCTCTCGAGAAGAATGTTTACTGGATGCATTTCATAACCTTTCACTGGCTATTTTTGGTGGTCCTCAGGACAAGACCCTTTTAGTTCACCAAGGACCACTCCCAGGGATCCGACTGGCACCTATGACCACCAAGCTCATGCTGCACAGCCTCGCATTGGCAAGTTCTGGCCAACAAAAAGTCACACACAGTATCTTTCTCCTCCAACAAAAGGAACACTACTGTCTAGAGTCTTCTTCTGTCTGCTTTTCCATCACTACAATACTCAAGTGCTTCCACCCTGTCCAGAACTCTTGCATAAAAGCATTTTTTATCCTGTAGGCTAGACCTGTTGCAATTATCTATACACAAACTGATCACTCATCTATTGTGTCACAGCCACAAATTTGTGAGCAGAAGCCAACCCTTTTAGATTCACATGGTATTTGAAGTGATTTTCACATTTCTGAAGCTGCATTTTCCCACCAGAATGCTTTTTCTGAAGTAAAAAAAAAGGGAAAACCAAAACACTCAACCTTTAAAACATTACATTAACTTGCTCTTTCTTTTGTTATCTTTTACTGAACAAAGTCACCTTGGGCAGGTAATTAGTACCTCACTTTTCTTGCTAACAGAAGGGAAACAATAATATTTTTCCATCTTTAATATTTTTAGGATGGAAAATGTTGCTGCTTAATATTTATTATGATGTTTTATACCAGAATTTAATAACATAAAACTCAGAACCTGAAGGCAAAATGTAAAAAGCAAAGGTGAGAAGACTACAGAATGCTGCTGTGGTTGTGTTTTGAAGGTGCTGAAAATTCTTGTAGTCTGTTGAACAGCATTTGTCAAACGTTCAGGCAGAACTGAGTCACTTTTGTACGAGGTCCAAACACAAATCAGCTCTTACTCCAGACATCCCTCTTGTTTTGGGGGTTTTCAGATCTGAGGGATGTTTTGCTATTGCAGTTTGATGTAGGGTCGAACTCAACCTTTAGAATTGTTTGGAGCTCAGATTTTGCTTCAGGTCTGACTCTAATGTTTCGCTTGTAGCGTTTTCTTAGAAGAACAGGCAGGAAGGAACTCTGTCCCTTGTTCTGTGTCTGGTGACAATTAGCACCTCTCAGTATATGCTCACAAGATGTTGAAACGAGACAAAACTAAACAGTGTTTTGTCGTTTGGGAGTGAAAAGTAAAAGGCAAAGTATCTTTATTTCCCCTAGGCATATAGATGCTCTAACTATAACATGAATATCTGTATTAGCTCTGAGGTATTCTTACTGCAGCAGGATAAATAAGGGTCAAGTGCAGCCCCTTTTCTTTTTCACAAGCTTTCTTTTGACTCAGGTATCTGGAGACACTTTTTCCACACACTTCCTCACAAACACGTGGCTTTACTCTTCCCCTGGAAGTGGGGCACTGGGGTAAGATGCAGTGCAATGGAACAAACTAGAGCCTGAAGTTGATAGAAGTCCCATCCCTGTACCCCTTCTCGACCACTCTTGTTTCTCCTTCTCCTCAACTCCTTCTGCTTCTACACTTTCTCCACTATCATCCAAGCCTACTGCTCAGCCCTGGAGTCACAGCTTTAAACATCACTCACCAGCATTACATTACTTATTCCTTATGAGTGCCAGAGCCCTTCTGATGCCCTGTGCCTGCACGGCCCATCAGACTGTGAGCTCTGCAGGGCACAGGGTGCCACAGTTTCCCATAGGGCTCAGGCTGAAGCACTCAGGCAATGCTGGGAAATTCTCCCCCCCACCCCAAAAAAAAAAAAAAAGCAACTTCTTCAGTGCACACGAGTATAAAATGACTCTTGTATTGGCACAGGTTAAGATGGTACCTCTTTGTATGACTGCACTGAACTAGTGTCTCTGATGCATTTTGAACTGATTGGTAAGGAAAAGTTGGATTGCAAAATTGTCTTAAGTGTCACTGGGAAGACTCTTAGCTGTGTACTTGAAAGTGCCATTCTTCACAATGCATCCACACAATTTTGCATGCTCACACTAATAACCTTTGTTGACTTAAAAAAAAAAGCACGTTTCTGAAATAAAGGTATATCAGTGAAACAACGGTAAAAAAAATAGACCACAAAGAGTAGAAAGTCCCTGAAGAGAAGCACAGAT